GCAGACAGTGGGTACCTGGGGAAAGATTAGGATAAGTCCTGGGGTCTTCGGAGATCCATACAGTCTGGGGCTCTTCTCAGGGGCTCTGTGATAGGCAGAAAGTTTTCCTACAAGGGAAGGTCTTGGCTTGAGAGATTTGGAGCTTCCCTCTCCCTGATTTGCTTAAACTTTTGGGCTCCAGCCCCCTGTTCTGTGAAGACCCCTTTCCAGCTCATCTCCACCCAGCACCACTGCCACGGCTTCAGCTTCCTTTCCTTACTCCCCATAGAAGCCACAGTAACCAGATGACACCTTGATTAGTCCTAGACGGCCTTTTCCTCAGCCTCTCCCTTTTTTCGTATCATTCTCTACTGATCTCCCTCTGGAGAAAAGAAGGGAAGGACTAAAAATGTGCTGTCAGGTTTGGATGGAGACACAGCGATAAAGAAATGAGGGTGACCGGGGGTACATATTATTGTTGTTTTGCTAAATGGGCATGTTGTCAAACTGCCTTCTAAATATCTGTTTTTTAAAAAATTATTTTTATTTTATGTGTATGAGCGTATGTATTACCTGCATGTATGTAAGTGCACCTGTGTCATGCAAAGCCTAAGGAGGTCACAAGAGGGCATCAGATCCCCTGGAACTGGAGTTACAGATGGTTGTTAGCTGCCATGTGGGTGTTGGGAATTGAACCTGGGTCCTCTGCAAGAACAATCGGTGTTCTTAACCACTGAACCATCTTTCCAGCCCCTAAATATTTATGTTTATACCCATAGGTCAGTGCTGCTCTCAACTTTGGTTAATGTAAAGATTCATAAGTGGTCAAAGTGCTGAGACTAAGTGACAGTGAGAGGTTAACCCTAAATGGGACATCTATACTAATGTTCTCAGGGAGCATCTTTGGAAGAGGGGACAGAAAGACTATAAGAGCCAGAGGAAAGAGAGGGGAGGACAGAGAGGAGGGCTGTGAAATACTGTCTTGTGGACGTGGCATGGCCATCAAACTCATGAACCCACAGCATCTGGGTTACTTGCACAAGATCAAGCCAGTCAAAATTTCAACCACCCCTAGCTGAGGAGCTATTGGCAAATGATAGCTGATGGGGGAAGGGAGAATAATTTCTTTGGGAGTATGGCCATTGGTAGGTTGCCCATGCTTCAGGGAATGGCCCCTCATCCATGAACGGATGGGCAGCACTAATTGGACTCAGCAAGTTATGAAAAAAGAGGACATGAGGCTGGAGAGATGGCCCAGTGGTTAAGAGCATTGGTTGTTCTTGCAGAGGACCTGGGTTCAATTCCCAGCACGCACATGGCAGCTAACAACTGTCCATAACTCCAGTCCCAGGGGATCCAACAGCCTCTTCTGACCTCCACAGGCATTGCATGACTCAGGTGCACTAACCTACATGCAGGCAATACACGCATACACATAAAATAAAAATAATAAATAAAATTTTTTAAAAAAGAGGACATGAAGTTGGGGAGAGGGTTGTGTTATGGGGTGAGGGTCCAGGGAGAGGTGGGAGTAGAGGAATATGATTAAAGTACATTAAATACAAATATGAAATACTCAAAGAATAAATATAAAAATATTATTTGAAAAAAAAAGGACTGAGAGCACGTGTCCTTTCTAAAAATCCTGGCTACATCATTTGTATCACAACCATGGTTACTGATGTTATTTATTGAACCCTTGCCATGGGCCAGACACTTGTGAAGAAACTCACAGAGATTCACCTGCCTCTGCCTCCTGAGTGCTAGGAATAAAGGCGTGTGCCACCACGCCCTGCTTCTTGCACCTCTTGTATTACCATTTATTTATTTACTTATTTTTGTGTTTGTATGTGTTCATGTGTATACACACATGATGTGCATGCACATGTACATGGAGGTCAGAGGTCAATGTCAGGTGTATCCTCAACTATACATTATTATTATTATTTTATGTGTATGAGTGTATTGCCTGCATGTGTGTAAGCACACTTGCGTCATGCAATGGCCGGGAGGTCAGAAGAGGGCATCGGATTCCCTGGAGTTATGGATGGTTGTCAGCTGCCATGTGGGTGCTGGGAGTTGAACCAGGGTCTTCTGCAAGAGCAGTTAGTGCTCTTAATCATTGAGCCATCTCTCCAGCTCCCCACCTTATTTTTTGAGACAGGATCTCTCACTGAACCTGGAGCTCACTGATTCCACTAGACTGGCTGGTCAAGCCCCAGGGAGCCTCCTGTCTCTCCCCACAAGAGCTAGGATTACAGACATGCACTGTCAAAGTCGGCTTATTTACATGGGTGCTGAGTATCTATCTAACTCAGGTCCGCACACTTCCATGACACTCACTTTACCAATTGAGGCATTTCCCCTGCTATATCAAAGAGGACTTTCATTTCTTTATTTTGTTGAGTCTGCTTGCATTCTCCTAATCACTATGGGGATCCCATTGTGAATTAACTTGACTTTAACAGACTGGGTTTTTCCCAGGCAGATTCTTACCATTGCTCTTATCTTTTTTTCCTATTTATTTCTACTTGTAAATTTTTATTTATTTTTATTTTATGTGTATGAGTGTTTGCATAAGTGCATCCACATATGCAATGCCCACAGAGGGCAGAAGAGGGATTGGATCCTTGGGAATTGGAGTTACAAATGGTTGTGAACTACCATGTGGGTGTTGGGAACTAAACCTGGGTCCTCTGTGAGGGCAGTCAGTGCTTGTAACTGCTGAGCCATCTCTCCAGCTCCTATTTGTTTTTAACCCAAGTAGCTTAAATGCTTTTTTTCCTTCCCTCTGTTGGCCTCTGTCATTTAGATTCCATGCCTATCTACAGAGCTCTGAGTGCACACAATATGAAAAGGGCAAAATAAAAATAGCCAATTGGTTCATGATACAATAGGAAAGTTTCTAAGGACAGAGAGGGCGGGCACTGGGGCTATGGACAGCTAGAAGATGAGGAATCTGGGTAGAAGACCTCTTGAGACCTGGGTTTGCTTTAGGGTAGTGCAGGTGACTCTTCCAGTTGGTGGAGGTGAGGAAGGAAGAGCAAATTGAAGATTCTCTTTTTTAATCCTGTCGTGGCTAGTGCCCAACCTGAGGCTCTTGTTCACTAGAAACCTGGCCTGCTGGACACACTGTGGATGTGAAGTGAGGCACCTATTCACAAGGAACTTCCCCAGGCTGGCTGTTTACAGAACCCACAGCCTTTGATACCAGAGCATAAAGTCAGGCCTCTGCCACTAGGCCTCCTCCACAACACTACACAACTGTTTCTTTATGTTAGACTTTTTACTGCTGGTATTGATTGTTGCTTTTATTGGCAAACTGTGTACCAAAGTAAAAATAAACACAAGGGCTGGTGCAGGGAGACAGTCAAGAGCTTTCTGTGTTTCCAGGGCCTGGAAAAGTCTGGCTGGGAGATCCAGTGGTCAACCTAGTCCCTGCTCCTTAATATACCTCTGCAATTATTGTAAAGCTGTTTTTGTCCATGCCCTTCCCTTAACAGGGCGGGCAGCTGTGGTCATCCCCATATACTCTGAGTGCTCGGCCCTCAATTCATAGCTGCTGAATGACACCAATGGAGGGCTGTCCAGGAAGTAGTGATTTCAAGGCTAGCCCAGCAGCCACACCTCTCTGCTCATTTCCACATGCAACTGCTTTGGTTGGCCAGTCACCACCACAATTTGGGGTTAGGGGTATGGTCTGAAAGACAGGCAGCAACAACAACTATTACTACATAGGCAAACAACAACTATTACTACATATTTACAGAGTTGTCCTATCACATTCAATGCATAAGTCAATTGCTCCCACAAGCTTAGCTGGGTGGCATTGTCTTATCATTCTTTCTGCCATAAAATCAAAAGCAAAAACTAAAATCAAGCCAGGCATAGTGGTGCACACATATAAACTCAGCACTTGAGAAATGGAGGAAAGAGGATCAGGAGTTCAAGGCCATACAGAGTTCAAGTCCAGCCTGGGCTATATGAGACCTTGTACCAAACAACAACAACAAAACCCCCAAAATCATTCTTACTGCCATTTAAAGTTGAGGAACCTGGGGTTAGAGATCGGGAAGGTCTAGGTTTTGTGCCTGGGTTTAATTTCTGCAACTGTAAAATGGAAATACTATCTACCACTTAGGGTTATGAGCAGTATTAAGTAACTATTCCATATGTGTTTACTTGTTTATTGCCTATTTTCTGCCCTAGGCTGTAAACTCAGGTGGGCAGACTGTGGCTCGTTTATTGCCCTATCATCAGAACCTGAAACAAGTGGCAAGCACATAGTAGGTGTTCAATACAAGTTTGTCTCTAATTGGAACCCATAGGAAATAAACCTAAGTCAGAACCTGGTCCTTCTATAACCTTCGTTTTCCCAGATTTGCCTCCTGCCCTAGGCAGCCCCTGGCAGATGTGAATGGTAGGCTGGGGGGTTGGGGGATTGGGGAGATGGGGGTAGAGTAAGAACCTATTTCTGGCCTTGGGACAAGGTCAGTAAAACCCCAGAAGTGAAAAGTCCAGAAAAGTATCTAAAGGGCAGACTGTTAAGCCAGACTGAGCCCTCAGGTTTCTCTTTTTTTCTAAATCAGGAAATGCATTTTTCTCCACGAGCCTTCAGGGAAGAACCACCCGCCCCGAGTGGAGCTGCCCGCAGCGTACTAGGGACCAGGAAGAAGCCGAGCTCGCGGGACTGGAGCGGCCGCGGCGGGGAGACAAGACCCTGGCGGCGGGGGAAAGCCGGTCCCAGTGAGCGCTCAGGGCAGAAAAAGCAGGGAAAGCCAGGCAGGGCGTGGGGGCGGAGGGCAGAACACACAGTAACCCCCGGCTCCCGCGCTAGCCCGTGCCGCTCCACCTTAAGCGGCCAGACCTCCTTAAGGGAGGGTGCTCCAGCCGAAGGCTGGGGCGGGGCCTCGCATGCAAATGAGGGGCGTGGG